ACGGCACATAACAACAACAACAACTCTATCTACTCCAGGTCCTCTCTACTAGGCAAGAGTGGTGTTCAGTGCTTGTTGGATAATGAACGAATGACATGTATTTTCATCTCTTTAGTGCATGCTTTTGATTTTTGAGTACTTCTTCTCTAGTCCTGATTTTTTTTTTTCTTAAGATGCTGCACTATCTTTCCCATTCTCTTTAAGCTTATGTAGGTTACTCTCTTAAACCTCAGAATCCCGTGTCCTGAAGTCTCCGTGTCCTGAAGTCTCCTCCAGACCCTGCTCTCCTCTCCCACAATTTTTTCCTGAATCCCTGATAGGATTCAGGAAAATGTACATATATATGTGTCTGATCTTCTCATATGAGCTCACTGCACAGATCATTTAATATCAGGCTGGGTGTTGACAGATTTGATTATAAACTGATAAATAAAACCCAGAAGAAAGAAAACCTACTTTAGAATTGGAGGATTAAGTACTTAATCACATAAAAAAAAAATTTGCATTTAATAGGAAAAGCCTATCTATCAAACTGCACTCTTCTTAATGCCATACCTTGAGAGGTGGAACCCTGGGTTCCTCTCTTGGAGGCTGTTCTTTCTGTGGTGGGCTGCTAGATGACATGTTCCGAGTTGACGGATCATCTTCTATCCTAGCCCTCTTTTCCTTACAGATTCCAAAGCTATGCTGCTCTGCAGTTTTCCTCTTTGATATTTCTGATTCTCTTTCATTTCTTATCCCGTCAGGTGACATGGAGGGCTCCGATGACTTGGAAGTATGTGAGCTTTCCAATCGATTCTGTATGCTTCCTTGCTTATGTGGTCTATTTCTAGGGCTTTCTGAAAATGAGGTCTTATCCACTGATGAAGGATATTGCTTGTCCTGTAATTTAGCTGATGGAATCTCACTTCCCTTACTCTCTGCCTCTTCAGAAAAGACAGGTAATTCCAATGGTGAAGACACACCTTTCTTTTCTGTTCTTTGCAGGACACTGTGATTTTTGGCTTTTACCATTTCTGGAGAAGGATGCTCTGTGATAGAAATGTAGGGTTTCTCAGTTTCAGCATGTGATTTACATGGCTGCTGATTCAAGGTCTTATTGTGCAGTTCTTCAAGTGGAAATGCTTCAGGAGCAATGGAAGAAGAACCTATTTTGATAGGTTCAGGAGTATTCAACAGAGTTTTCTGCTGAGAGAGAAGGCTCTCTCCCAAGGGTTTGGCTGGGACAGAAGCTTCATCTGTCTGTGAGCAGAGTGGTTCTTCAGATATGGAAGGTGACTTTCTTTGCTGATGCACCATTCTTTCGCTCAGGGCAGAATTAGAAATTGGAGAGGTTTCTGAAGGAAGTGGCAAACTGGACACATATGTGGTCTCAGATGTGAGAAGCATGGAAGACACTGAAGAAGTTTCTGATGTCAAAGGTAAATCAGACATTGGGGATGTCTCTGATGTTAAAGGTAAGTTTGATATTGGGGAGGCTTCTGATGTTAAAGGCAAGTTGGACATAAGAGATGCTTCTGATATTTCTGGTGAACTGGAGATTGGAGATATTTCTGACATCAAAGATGCATGGAGGTTTTCATCACTGGACTTTCTCTGATTATATGTGTCCACATTTTCAGTGCTGGACACTTCAGAACAAAATGCTGTCTCAAGGGAGGCTGGAGTACATGATTCTTCAGATGTGGACTGGGTTTCCCCACCTGGGGATGTCAGGCTGGGACAGACTCCTTCTGGGCTCTCAGAAGAGAAGGAAGTTTCAGATACACAAGCATTTTCAGAAAACTGTTCATCAGGTTCACTCTGTAGTTCCATATCTACAGCAATCCCTTCACTTGGAAACTGGCCTTCTAAAGAAGATGCCCCTGTTTGTATGTTTGGAGTACTGGTCTCTACTGTGGTTTCTGGCTCTCTGTGTTCTGTGTCCCTGATGTGAGTCACAGATGAAGTGGAAGGAACAAGAGAGTCACAGACTTCTATTTGATCAATAACAACTGACATTTCTTCTTGGGGAGATTCTGATTTCTCTTCCACCTTAATTTCAATATGAGGCAAAGTTTCTAAAACATCATTCATCATAACACAGGATTCCAAGTTATCTTCTGGAGCTGAGATTTGGGACTCTTCATGCAAGTTATTTGCACTTTCAGACTCCTCAGAAAATTCAGGTATTGCCTTAAGATTTTCATCCTGGCATTCACAGATACTAGTCTCTACCTCTTCTGCAATTTCCTCCTGAATCACAGATTCTTCAGGGATCAAGATATCCTCTGATTCAGATTCTGCCATTATATCTTTAGCTGGACTCTCCACCATAGGACAAAGTGTGGCACGGAAATCAGGCTCTGGGGAAGCTGGGCTTTTCATGCTTTTTGGCTGTGGCTCTTCTAAGGGTGTCTGTGCAGAAGAACCTGGAAGACTAGAGGTCCCACATGAGGAACTGCTTTCAGCGCCATCATTGTTTGGTCCAGAAGTGAGCTTCACAGATTCTTCTCTTGACATTCCCAACCTGAACAAAATTACAGATATAAAGTTACTGCTCAATCACAAATCACAAAAGGTATAATTTGTGACTCTCATAAATACAGTCTTCAATAGAAGTGAATAAATCACATTCATTTGATAATCACTATGTAACATGTAAGGAGCTCTGCTGGTACATGGTTAAAGCATTTGGCTGCTAACCAAAAGGTCAGTGGTTCAAACTCAGCCATTCTGTGGGAGAGAGATGAGGCAGTCTGTTCTTGAAAAGACCGATGCCATGCAAACTCTATGGGGCAATTCTACTCTGTCCAATAAGGTCATTATGGGTGGGAATTAACATGATGACAAGGGATTTGACTATGAGTTGGAATCAACCCAATGGCAATGGTTAAGTAAAATGCTTAATTTATTTAGACTAGATTATGATGACTTAATTCCTCTGTGGCTTCCACAATTATACACAAAATCAACTCTAGTCCTAGTTAAAAAAGGGAAAGACTTTTATTTTGTAAGGAAGGAAATATGAGCCTTAACAAGTGACAGTAAGAGGAATAAGTAAAATTACTTTAAATTGGCTAAACAAGCCAAATTTTTTGTGCTTACTTTTGTCACTGTCAAGAAACTAAATGTTAGCATGAGAACATTCTATTAAAATGGTACGTTACAGACTAGAAAGATTTAGAAAGCATGGGCAATAAAGCAAAAGAATGTCTAAGACCTAAAATTTCATGAAAGCCAAAAAACATAAAGATTTTTCTAATAGAAAATTAGATAGTGTTCAGAGAACGCAAGTTGACCAAATAATTAAGATCAACATAAAATAAGTGATAAAAATAAGATACAATAAATAAATTATATAAAATTCTGATGCTGAAATGAATTCCAAGTGTAAGCTCTTTTAAAGTAATCTAAGAGATGCTATACTCAATCACTTTTTCTTTTTTTATTCCAAATATCTAAGCATTTAACCTAAGATAAAACAAAACAAAATCATTAAAGAATAAAAATATATGAGGGATCATCCAAGTTGATTTTACCAATTTAGGTTTGTATGAAAAAGCCAAACCATTTCATGTAGATTTGTTACTATGAGGATATTCCATGCAAAATGAAGTAAGAAAAACATTCACCCTAATGCTGAGGTCATAAGGCAAAGCTAATCAGAGCTACAATCAAGGATACCACAAATCAGTATTTCCTGTTGTCCTAAGTTACAGTTTCAGCATCTGAAGGTAGAGAAATATGTTGTTCTAAATGAAGTTAAATTAGAGTACAGGCCATGAGAAAAACACACAGGAAGGAGAACATTTCTGGGGAAAGAAAGAAACTTGAATAAAAAATTCAGCTGTAATGCTAACAATGTAAGAAAATACCTTCACAACATCTACTTTAACCTTTCACTTAAACAAAATCCTCAAAATGAAAGGAAAAAAAATTGCATACATTCTTTGAATATTTGATCATTGCCTCCTTTATTAAAATTCAGAAGATTCTGAAAACATGGAAGATACTGCCTTCATAATTAATCTTTTTCCTTTAACTTTCCCTAAGCTGAGTTCCAACCACATTACAATTTATGAGTATACTGTAGAGAGAAGAGGAGCTCTCGTAATGTAATGCCTAAGGCACTTGACTGCTAACCAGAAAGCTGGTGGTTCAAACCCACCAGCCACTTCTCGGAAGAAAGGCCGGGTAATCTACTTCTGTAGTGATACCGCCTCGTAAACCCAAGGAGGGGTCGCTATGAGTCAGGTCTGACTCCACGGCACATAACAACAACAAGAAATAGAGAGTGGAACAGAAATTTACAGGTATATTTAAAGCAAAATACTCAGGTAGAAATAAGGCTTGGGGTTAGGTCACTGTTAATTAAATTGCTACTGTTTGGCTAATAAGGATATTATTAAAGATATATATGGATAAGGATATTATTAAATGCATACATAGTACACTTAAACACTTTACAAAATATGCCTATGTTAACATTTTATTATTTTCATGTAAAAACTGTTCTAAGATGGCATAAGGCATAGAAGGAAGATGCTCACAGAACACCACACACCACCCAAAGGAAAACCCTGTCTTCTAAAATCTCAAATGAACAGATCAACACTGAGTTAGCATTTATATGGGTCATCTCTAAGAAACTAAAAAGAATATAGAGCAGTGCTGTATCCTAGACAGAGTAAACAATGGCAGTAACAAAGATCTCAAATAACAGCAACACTCTTGGAAAAACTTAGAACAATGAAAAGTCATACCATATCACAGTCAAACTAAAGTTGGTTGATACAAAGAAAAAAACTCTCACATATAAGCGGAATGGAGGAGTGATTAAATCCAAAGGGCAGTGGTTGCAATTTCCAAAATTCATCCATTGTCCAATATTTAATCAGAGACAGTAAAGGACAAGAAAAAAGTCCAGTAAGATGTAAGGGGAAAGAAACTATAATGATAAATTGCAGCAAGGAAGGAGTTGAGTAGAAGAATTTTCATAATTCAGAGCATGGTGCTGATGATGGGGAGCCATGTTTACTCAGAGCTCACTCCAGGGCAGGGGCCCTTAACCTGATTATCCACAGGCAGCTGATGAGCCCTCAAGTTTTATGCCAAAAGAAAAGGTATGTGTGTGAGCATATGGGTGTGTGAATGTGTTTGCATATATGTGTGAGGGAGAAAAGATAAAGAGAGATTTTTCTTTGAAGGGTTTACAGGATTAAGACCCTGAGTGTGTTACTTGGCCTTACCATATAAACCTGGATAAATTGCTTAGCTCTGTTGTACTTCATTTCCTAATCTTTTTTTAAAATAAGGATAATGATATCTACTCCTTATAGGACTATCGGAAGTAATAAATGAAAAATATTTGCAAAGCTATTAAACATATATTAGAGACTGAATATGCTCAATGATTATTCATCGAATGAAGCAAAGTTCTCTGCTATATACAGTGCCTAGAACATTAAGTTCCCTAAGGGCAGAACCTTGGAAGGCCTACAGAAAACTGTACCTCCTGCGTCTAGAGTAGTGTCTGTCACAGACATCTGGGATAAATATTTTGGAAAATTAATAAAGATTCTGTATAATTAATAAAAGAATGGGTCTATCACTCAACAAAAGTTAAGGACCAGTGCTCTGGATGTAACTAACTCAGTTATGCTTCTGCTGTTACTGAAAAGAGTGCTCCCAACATTCCCTTTCACAGTCAAAAGGAAAGGGAGTACTCCTGAGTGATCATCAAAATATCTTTCAAGGTTTCCAACCCTGCTGGGTCTCAACTCCTAGAGATTTTCAATTGGTTTAGTTTGGGATAGGTTGTAGAAATCTCTACTTAGTTTTAAAAGCTCCAGGCTTAGGTAACTATGTATGATGACAACATGAATTACAACATTTGGTTTTGGTTAAACATGTATTTGTATCCAAAAAAGAGAGTCTTGGGAAAGCCATTAAAGACAGGCCATCCACCTGAGGCGATGCTATTTAGGGCAATTCACCAAAGGCTAGCCTACTCTGAGGGAACAGTCTGTCAGTCATCTGGCTCTTTGTCATGAATGTTGTCATGTGAGATTCCTTCTGGCATGCTTTCTCCACTTACAGGGAGGATCTTGGGAAACTAGATTAAATGGCACAGGTTTTGTTACCTAACACTACTTGAGTGTTGTTTATACAAAACAACCTCTCTCAAACATTTTGTCAGGTGGGCATGAACACACAAATTCTACTTCCATAGTGACACTGCCTCGGAAACCAAAGAGAGGTTGCTATGAGTCCCATCGACGCGATGGCACACAATAACAACAACAACAAAGCTAAGGTCAACAGTCAGCTCCTAAAGCTCTCCTTTCTTGAATCTCATTGTTAAGACTCTATTTCTGCCAAAGCAGAGCTATGTCTCTGCTAACAGAAAGCAAAAGGTAAAGCACGTTCAGTTTGATTAGGTCAGACCACTCTTGTAAGTATTTTTAATAATATATTAAAACACAGCATAGCTGAAAAGAAAGATGGATAGAATGAAGGGTTTATATCTCAGGCTCTTCCAAAAGCAAAGACTTAACATAGATTAAAATGTATATGGCACAATCAACACTTTTTGAAAAAAAATGAAGATAAAATGTGTGCCCCATACTTATTACCTCAGAAGTATTCATTAACAAAAATGATTAGATTAAAAAACGGGAAATTTTTACTAAGATCCACTTAAGAAAACCAAAGTTGACTTCTACAGGATTTCATGTGCTATGTTCAGTCCAAAATGAATTTTTATGGACAAGTTATAAACCCTTGAAAATGCATTTTTTTTTAATTTCAGTGCGGATATGCCACTATAATTTTACCCGCAATTTCTTACACTGAGGGACTATTGCCTTTTATCACAGGTTTATTAAGTTTTACAGCATATGAGTGTGCTATGTGAAGCAGAGAATTACATTTTCATTTCCTTCTAAAAGAAATGAGAAAAAATGTTCTAGTACTTACTTTTCTCCATAAAACCTTTCAAAGAATTTTTCTTTCCAAGGTTCTGTTTTCTTTTCCTTCTCAATTTCTTGCCTTATTCGTAATTGCATTTCTGGGGTAAACTCTCCTAGAAAGAAAATGCTAATATGTTGAGTACAAGCAGTCACATTTTTTTCCAATTAGAAAACAACATGTAATTCATTTGACTAAACTTCTATGGACATTGAAGAGTGAAAAGATGCATACTGACAATATTTCTACAAGTTCTCTTTTTATGAACATCACTCAAAGTCATTCATTTACAGATGAGCTCTGTAACATTCAGCAAATGTATTGAGTGCTAGGGCTATAGGTGAAAAATTGTATATCCACTGAAGAAGGTAAGTCTGGTGGGAGAAAAGTCACACTTCACCAGTTGCCACTGAATCGATTCCAACTCATGGGGACCACGTATGTCAGAATAGAACTGTGTGCTTTCTATGCACATCGTGCATAGAACAGGGCTTTCAATGGCTGGATTTTACAAAAGCAGATCATCAAGTCTTTCATCTGAGGTTCTTCTCTGTGACCTTGAGCCTGTAACTTTGGTTACCAGTCAAGTGCCTTACTCGTTTGCACAGTTGACTATAATATAATACCAAAAGCACTGAATAGGCCACAAGAATAAATGGAGTGAAAGTATAGAAAGGAAACAACTTAATTTTGCCTAAGTAGTTTTAAGATGTCTACAAACAGGAACCGATTCTTGAGTGAGCTTCTGAAGCATGATCAGGCTCTTATAAAGTATATGAATTATAAGGCACAGAGTTAAAAATGTATATGTATGCCCTTTTGAATGGTCAATCGTGAGTAGTCTATAGGATGAGATGAAATGGGAAAGGTAGGTTGAGGTCAATTATCTAATGTATGTTCTAAAGAGAGTTCTGAATTTTTTCTGTAGAAGGCGGGGGGGTCATAGTGGCTTTCGATGAGGGAGGAATATGATTAGATAAGCTGTCTAGAAAAACAGTTCTGACAACAGGGTGAAGAAATTTGAAGACTCCAGCTACAGATGAGATGAGAGATTATGATCATGCTGGTAGCAGCAGGAATGTGGAAGAAAAGTCAGATTCGTGACACAATGAAGACCTCATGACAATCGAGGTTTCAAACTGAGGATAATGGGGATTTTAATAGAAACAGAGAAAGGAGAAGAGAGTAGTTATGAAAGGGAAGATAGTGAGTTTTATATTGGGTGTTTTGGTTTTAAGATATCTGGTATCAAAGAATGGATAACCAAACTATGGTACATACACACAGTAGAATATTATGCAGCACTAAAGAATAATGGAGAATCCACAAAACACATCACAAAGTGGATGAACTTGGAGGACATTATGCTGAGTGAAGTAAGTCAATTACAGGAGGACAAGTATTATATTAGTCCACTACTGTAAAAAGTCAAGGAAAGGTTTACATATGGAAGGAAACTTATTTTTTTGGTTACCAGGAATGGGAGGAGGGAGGAAGGAAGGGAAAACTGCTAGATAGGTAGAAGACAAGTACTGACGTGGGTGAAGGGAAAGGCAATATACCAACATCGAGTTACTAACACAATAACACTAAGGAGCAGGAAGACATGGAAAGGTGCACAAGAGGTATACAAAACAAAGATAAATACTTTTACATACACAATACTACATTATCAGTAATAATAAACATTAATCGATGGGTAGATACATAGGTAGACAGGTTAAATGATCAGTTATATCTAAGCAAAAGGGAAGAGATCCATGACCATATATAAATTTGGCAGATGATATTTCTACACATGTTCGTATGTGCTGAAGAATGTCCATACATATGTAAGAAAGCTAAAAGGAGGCAAAGGTATAACTTCTTAGCCACAGCCAACCACCCTGATGGGTCAAATTGTTGGACCTATGGACTCGGGACCAAGATCACGAGAGACATCAAGCTCAATTGACATAACATATTACACAAGAACAATGTTCTACATCCCACTTTGGTGAGTAATGACTGGGGCCTTAAAACCTTGCAGCAGCCATTGCAATGTAACAATGGGTCTCTCCTCATCTAGAGCAAAGAAGAATGAAGAAAACCAAAGATGCAATAGTCCAAGGGACTAGTGGACCATGTGAACCTCAGCCTATATTACCATGAGACCAGAACAACTAGATGTTGGCCAGCTACCATGGACAACCACTCAGAAAGGGATCAGCACAGGAGATCCTGAATAAAATGGGGGAACAATGTGGAACAAAACCCCAAATCATAAAAAAAAAGACCAGGCTTACTGCTCTGATGGAGGTTGGTGAAATCACCAAGATTATGGCCCCTAGTTATCCTTCAGGCCTGGAATTGAACTCACTCCCATGGTTTCCAGCCAAACAATAGACAAGCATATAGGGTATATTTTACCCCAGGTACATACATTTACCCTAGGTAGATACACTTCTAAGAACAATCAATCATGGGATAACAGAAGGGCAGTATTTGAACAGGGAGACATCTCAGGGGTCAGAAATGCACAGGAAAGAAGGACACAGAGAAGTAACTACAGGGAAGAAGTGGGAAGAGAGCCGTTACATTGTGGGGATTGCAGTCAGTGTCATGAAACAAAATGTGTATGAACCGCTGTATGGAAAATGGATTTGCTCTGTAAACTTTCAGCTAGATCACAATAAAAATTAAAAAAAAAAAAAAAGTGTCTGGTATCAATCAGCAGGTGTATGTAAATAGAGCACCGAGAATCTGGAGAAGAGGTGAGAGTCAGATTTCAAAGCTCTTGGCATATAGAGAATGGATGAAACCAAGGTAGTAAGATTGTTTAGAGAATACGTATTGTTACAAAAGAAAATGGCAGAGAAGAGAATATTTGAGACATCAACATTTACCGTTAGAAGGTTCCTGAAGGAAACCAAGAAAGGGCCGTCAGAAATGTGGTGGCAGCAAACAATTTAAAATATATTATGAATGTCTGAGGTAGATACTTTTGAGTTGGATGGAGTAAAGGCAATGTGATACTGGAGAAGGAACATGGAATAAAAGCTTGGGAACTCAATTGGCATAACATACTACACTAAACATTGTTCCTCCTCCTACTGTGGCTAGTAGCGACTGAGATCTTAAAAGCCTTCAAGCTGCCGTCTAGATGCAACGATGGGTCTCTCCTTGTCCAGAGCCAAGAAGAATGAAGAAAACCAAAAATTCATGGAAACAACTAGTCCTAGCGACTGGTACACCATCCGATCTGCTGCCTATACGACTATGAGACCAGAACTAGATGGTGCTCGGCTACTGCTGTCAACCACTTGGAAGAGGATCTTTGTAGGAGATCCTGGATAGACAGGGGGAAAATGTGGAACAAAACTCAAAATCACTTGGGGAAAAAAAAAAAGCGGGTAACAGGTTTGCTGGCCCGAGGGAGCCTGGTGAAACCATTGAGACTACTATGGTCCCTAGCTGCACTTCAGGTCTGGAATTGAATGCACACCTGTGGCTTCCAGCCAAACAACAGACAGGCATATCAGTTGAGCATTTACCCGAGATAGATACACTCCTTGGAGAGAATAAGCATGAGAGAAAAAAGGGCTGCTCAGGTACAGGGAGACACCTCAGGGGGTAGGAGTGCATGGAGAGATGGACACAGGGAAGAGGTAACTATCGGGAGGAAGTGGGAGGGGAGATGTTGCATTGTGCTAAATCGTGGTCAATGTCATGAGACAAAGTGTATGTGAACTGTTGTATAGAAAGTGTACTTGCGCTGTAAATTTTCACCCAAATCACAATAAAATAATAATAATAATAATAATAATAAAAAGGACTGAGAAGAAGAAAATGGACTTAGCCATTAGGAAGTACTTTCTAGGAGGGATATTTCAGTTTTGGATAGTGTAACCACACCAGACTGTTAACAATCTGGGAAGTGGGTAGGGAGGAAAACTGTGGTAGCATGGAGTGCTTTTCAGTCTTTTAAGAAATGTGGTAACTAAAGGCAGGATAAGGTGAAGTGATAGCTTTGGGGAAGGTGGTTATTAAAATACATTTCTTTAGGACAGTCTTTCTTTAGGAGATTATATAACATATCAAACATGGTGATTTAAATTACCATTACAAAGAAAACCTAGCTATATCAATTTTTAAAACTAAATCCTACATAATGTCACTGTTTCTCCAAATATATCCATATGGCATCAAAACTGTCAAGTATAACAAAGAGTAAGTGAATTTGTTTGGAATCGGATTTAAGGTTTTGTTAAATTAAAATATACTTCAGAGGAAAAATAATTTGGAAATCAGAGAAAGATGCAAATGTTGGTATAGTATTTGTGCTTAAATATGTCAAATAATAATAGGAAATAGAAATTTACCTTCTGCCAGCCGCTGTTTCCATCCTTGTGCTGCATATGCAAAAAATTCATTATTTAGAGCTGAAGTACTGAGGCGCAAAATTCCATCACTTCCCATCTAGAAAATAAGCAGACAAAAACAAGATTCCATCAGGAACAATTCAAAGCAAAATTACATAAGAAAAAAGTGAAAACTAAGTAGGTGTGTGAAAGAGAAGTTTGGGGTAGAAGGAAGGGAGGAAAGGCATCCAACAAAAGATGAATCTCCTAGTACGAAAATTGAATTGTTTACAGTGACTATTGCAATGACAAAACAAGTCAATCTAAAGAAAATCTTTATTAGGCGTGTCCATCATTGGTGGTGAGTGTACCGAACAGCCGTAATTCAATCAGCGATGTTTTATATCTTTCTAATTTCAACATGCCCTAGGTGATATGATATGTGAGTCCCTGAGTGATGCAAACAGTTAAGTATTTGGTTACTAGCAGAAAGACTGTGGTTCAAACCCAACCAGAGGCACCTGGGTCACAATGCTGGTGATCTGCTTCCAAAAGATCACAGCCTTGAAACCTTTTGGAGTAGTTTTATTCTGCACACATGGGGTCACCGTGAGTCAGGGTGGACTCGATGGCAACTCACAGCAGCAGCAACAACAAAGTGACAATGAATCAAAAATCCACACCCATTTACACCTTTAGGCTATTTATTTATTTATTTATTTGAATGAAATTTATGAAAGCTGAAGAGATTCAGTTTGATCACTCAGATTCTTCTGTCTGAGGTTCAGATAACAAGAAGTTTGGAAACATTAGAATAAATACACGTATACCGATGTGTTGTTGTTGTAACATGCCGTTGAGTCAGACCCAACTCATAGCGAGCCCTCCTTGGGTTTCCGAGGCAGTATCACTACGGAAGTAGATTGCCCAACCTTCCTTCTGAGGAGTGGCTGGTGGGTTTGAATCGCCAGCCTTCTGGTTAGCAGTCAAGTGCCTTAGGCACTACGCTACCAGAGCTCCCATACTGATGTATATGCCCCTTTTATACTTATCTCATTTTCTTTGGATGACAAATACCAAAGCATGCAACAGTGTTAAATATATGTGCAACTATATGCTGCTAACATTTTCCCTCAAATATACTCATTTTTAAAAACTCATGTATAGAAAAGATTCACACAGGCATCACTCAACTGAATAAATGTTTTTAACTTTCCAGTTATTTAATTGTTTACCGCATCTTCTGTCTGCGTGAATTCTGCTCGTTGATGCAGAGAACAGAAAAGAATTAGATTGTTGTCCTTGACTGGCTTTCCTATCTAGTTGGAGAGTGAAGATAAAACACATAAAAGGTTAAACGAGGTCAAACGTTAGGTAAGCAGGTTGGAAATGAGAGGTGCAAAACTAAAAATGAGGGAAACGTATTTATAAAAATGTGAGCTGTTAGAAGAACTTGCTAAACAAAGTAGGGCTGGCATAAGATCGTGAGAGACTGACAGGATTTGGGCAGAATAATTAGAGAAAAAAATATCTAGTATATGGTCAGAGAACATGAACTGTAGTACAGAGGGAGAAAACCATAAAATATCAATAACCAAACAATTTATGAATTTATGAGGAAGCTTTAGTCTCGTACTCAAAGGCCTGGCAGCAGGCTATAGCACCAATTATATTTTCAAAGGTTTTCTCTTACTCCCATATACATACCTCATATGTCCTAAACTCTAATTATTCAATGTTATGGGCTGAATTGAGTCCCCCAAAATCAGAGTTGGGATCCAAACCTCCACACTTGTCAATGAAAGAGACCTGATAGTATGGCAATTAAGTGCTCAGCTACTAGCTAGAAAGGTCAGAGGTTTGAACCCACCAGCTGCTCTGTGGGACAAAGAGGTGGAAGTCTGCCACATGGGGCAGCTCTACTCTGTCCTACGGGTAGCTATGAGTTGGGATCAACTCTATGGCAAAGGGCTGCACCTATGGATGTAAGCCCATTTTGTTATAATAATAAACCAAACCAGAGTAGGGTATGCCCTAAACCTAATCACTGCTGAGGCACAGAAAGAGCAGATGAGACACAGAAGCAAGGACAAACTGGGGAAGACAGACACATGCCAGCATTGCTAAGGAACTGAGCAATGCCAGGCTATGAGAGCTGAGACAAAAAGACTTTCCCCCAGAGCTGACTGGGAGAGCGAGCCTTCTCCTACAGTCAGTTCCCTGAATTCAGAGTTTTATCCTCCCAAAGTGTGAGAAAATAAACTTCTGTTCTTTAAACTCATCTCCTCCTGGTATCTGTTAAGAGCAGCACTAGCAATCTAAGACACTCAGAGACTTCTTATCCTCACATTTTCATTTATTTATAATCTGCTCTACATTTGGTCTTCACCCATTGAAATGACATTCTTCTTTCAAAATTTAACTCAGATAAAGTCTGTATGAATGTGTCGGCTAAATAATGACTCAGGAGTGAAGAAGATTATTGACTCTAAAATGGAATACTATACAAACCACTCTATACTTGACAATGACCAATCAAACCTAAAAAAGGGAGACATTGAGGACCATGTGATATATGCTGAATGCTACCATCATGTCATCTACCGGGAGGGCACAGATTTAGGATTCCGATTTTTGTCACTGAAAAAGATAGCAACGATCACACTAAAACACTCAATACCTTTGGAAATTTTCAGACAAGATGCCATTCATTCATTGATTCACTGTTTACTCACTCACCGTTTTTTCATCTTTAGTCAACAGGTTTTTAAGTCACTCACATGTACCTGTATGGATGCTGATAATACCATGGCAACAAAGAAAAAGCCCTGCCCTCACATTCCACATTGGGAGTTCCTATATTCTATATATAACAGAGGTTTCTGGGCCTTGTACATTCTTTTTACCCAACTGACATGAGCATGTTGTGGTGTAGTACATGTACCATGCCAGTATATCACCTCAAGGGCTTACCACAGTTGCAAGATGTTAGTAGATAAAAGTCCAGTCTTCCTATGAGACAATTATAGGATATAATCCCTGGAATGCAAAATATGCACTGAACCAGTGGATGGTATATGGTGCAATGTCTCCAATGGCTACAATACATGGTCTGGGAATCAGGAGGTAGGATGAGTGAACCTTCGTACTATTGCTTCCAGAGTCTCATATTCATATTTGCTTCCTTTCCCCTCAACTCTAGACTCTGTGGGACTAGAAGTCCAGATTCCCAGTAGGAGAATCATGTGTTTAAGGGCAAAGTGTCTCAACCATGGAACATTTGGGGCCATATAATTCTTTGTTGTGAGGGCATGTCCTGTGCATAGGAGGATGTTTAGTAGCACCCCTGATCCCCACCCATGAGGCATCAAGTAGCAACCCCTCTCTCTGATATGACAACTAAAAAATCTTCAAACATTGACAAATGTCTCCTTGGGGGCAAAATTATCAGTTGAGAACCACTGCACTAGGGGACTTATAAGTGAAGTTCTCCCTGGTTACTTGGCATTCCTCATGTTAGTAGACCAGCAAGCAAAGAGAATAGTTCCTAGACAGGTAGAATGTTGTTGTTGTTGTTGTTTGCTGTCGAGTGGGCCCCGACTCATAGAGACCCCTCCTTGGGTTTCCGAGGCAGTATCACTACGAAGTAGGATTGCCCAACCTTCCTTCTGAGGAGTGGCTGGTGGGTTTGAACTGCCAGCCTTCTGGTGAGCAGTCAAGTGGCTTAGGCACTATGCTACCAGAGCTCCTAGACAGGTAGAATATTCAGTGCTAATTATCATGAAGTAATAGGACTGCTGCTACATTGTGGGAATAGAGTAGAGAATGTCAGGAACTTTCAGGACTCACTGGGGCACCTCTTATGCTTCCATGCCTGGTGATAACAGTGAGTACAGATTGCCACAATAATAGACTGAAAGGGCAACACAAAGGATCAATCCCCTCATTGATGAATGTCTGCATCACTCCACCAGGCAAACCAGCAGAAGTGCTGGCCAAGGATGAGAAAAATCAGCAATGAGTTTCAGAAGAGTGAGATGATGAGTCCCAATCATAATGCAGTGTAGTGAATTACTTAATATGGCCCTTCTAGCCACAGTCTTTGTAACTCCCACCAAATGACTGAGTGGGACTATGCAAATGTTAGGTGCTTATAGCCCAAGGGGGACTGGATAGTTTTGCCAACTTCCGAGGCTTAAAATGAGCCACTCCAGAGGTAGAAAGGGGGGAATCTCACTAATATCAAGAAAGTAGAGCCAGAGGTGAAGCACATCTTTGGGTCCAAGATTCCTGTGCTGAACCTCCTCAACGCAGGAGGGAGACAGCTGTAATGCTTTGCAGTGAAGACTGAGGACAGCAGCAGCAGTGTTCTGGTTACCAAGTGCTGCTCTGATAAGAATATACCACAAATGGGATGGCTTTAACAAACAGGAGTTTATTCTCTTACAGTTTGGAGGCTTTAAGTCCATGTTCAAAGTGCCAGGCTCGAGGGGCTAGGTAAAACTCCTCAACCTTGGGCTTCAGCTCTGCCTCCTACTCTGGCAACTGAAGCTGGAGGCTTTTCTTCACACAGCTACTGGCTGCTGAGGCTGGCAAGCCCAAGGTTGACAAGTAAAAAGGCACAGTCTCAATGTTACCAAACCACACAGCAGGTCATTAATTCAAGTTCACTGAAAGTCCTAAGGTTGGCAGAGCATGACAGGCTGCTGAACAATGACACAGCTACATGCCGAGTTCAAGCGTGCCACAAGCTAGAGACCACTCCCAAAGCTGTTTCTTATATTCGGGAAGCAGACCACATACCCAAAGCAGCTACTCATCTATTCCAATAGATTCCACCATGGAGTTGATTACCAATCTCACCATGGGGAATAATGACATTAAGCTGCCCAGCCACTCAACCAGACCCAGTCAAGTTGACACACAAACTTAAACATCACAAGCAGAATCAGGAGAGCAGTAAGAAATAGCTCAGTGGGCTTCCAGACCCAAGGAGGGAGAAAGTTGAGCACCTTCGGGCTGAGGTGGGTTGGGTTGGGGTGCCTCTCGGCATTTACCAGCAGAGCTCAAAGAGCTTTGTTAATACTTGCCCAAGCAGGGCAGAGGCCAGGGGAATGC